CAAAAGGTCAATCATATAAAGGTTATTATTGGGGGAGAATGCAAAGTGGCATAGTCATATACTATTATATGTATTTTATGTATTATAAAGTAGTAATCATCAAAACTATTTGGTACTGGCTAAGAAACAGAGTGGTGAGTCAGTGGAATAGATTAAGTACACAAGACAGAGTAGTAAATGAACATGATAATCTAGTATTTGATAAACACAAAGACCTCAGCCTCTGGGATAAAAACTCACTATTTGACAAAAACAGTTGGGAAAACTGGAAAACAATATGGTACAAACTAGGTAGAGACCAACATCTTACATCACAGGCCAAGTTAAGGTCAAAATGGGTACATCTTTAGGCATAAAGAATGACAGTATAAGCAAATTATGAAAGCAAGAAATAGTCTACCTGTCAGACCTATGGAGAAGAGAAGAACTGATGACCAAACAAGAGATTGAGAACATTATGAAATGCAAAATAGATAATTTTTATTATATTAATTTAAAAAGGTTTTGCACAAACAAAATCAATTCAACCAAGATTAGATGGAAAATAGAAAGCTAGGAAACAATCTTTATAGCAAAGGCCTCTGATAAAGGTTTCATTTCTGAAATATATAGAAACTGAACCAAATTTATAGTAATACAAGCCATTCCTTAATTGATAAATGATCAAAGGAAATGAACAGCAGTTTTCAGATAAAGAAATCAAATCAAATCCTTAGTCATATGAAGTGCTCTAAATCACTTCGGATTAGAGAAATGCAAATGAAAACAACTCTGAAGTATCACCTCACACCTATCAGATTGGCTAATATGACAAAAAAGGAAAATGAGAAATGTTAGGGAGAGTGTGGGAAAATTCGGGAGCTAATGCATTGTTGGTAGAATTGTGAACTGATCCAACCATTCTAGAGAGCAATTTGGAACTATGCCCAAAAGGGCAACTGAACTGTGCATACCTTTTGATCCAGCAAAACCACTACTAGTTCTATATACCAAAGAGATCTTAAAAAGGGGAAAGACCTACCTGTGCAAAATATATTTGTAGCAGCTCTTTTTGTGATGGCAAAACATTAGAAATTGAGGGGATGTCAGTCTATTGGGGAATGGCTGAACAATTTGTGGTGTATGAATATAATGGAATACCATTGTGAAATAAGAAATGATAATCAAGCAGATTCCAGAAAAGCTTGGAAAAACTGGTGTGAACTGATGCAAGGTCAAATAAACAGAGCCAGGAAAATGTTGTACACAATAACAGCTAATTGTATGATGATTAACTAAGAACCACTTACCATTTCTCAGCAACACAACGATCCAAGACAATTATAAAGAAAATTACAATGAAGGAAAATACTATCCACATTCGTTTGTAAGAACTGATGAACTCTGAATGTATATCAAACCATTCTATTTTCACTTTATTTTTTGTGGTCTTTTTTCTTTTTGGTCTGTTTCTTCTTTCATAACTGACTAACATGGAATTTTGTTTCACATGATTTCACATATATAACTTATATCAAATTGCTTACTGATTTAAGAATAGAGGAGGGGAGGTGGTAAGGCAGGGAGGGAGGAAAAGAGGGGAGGAGAAAAATTTGGAACTCAAAATCTTGTAAAAATGAATGCTAAAATTGTCATTACATATAATTGGGGGGGGAGGTAAAATACTATTAAGAAAAGAAGAAGAAATAAAAATCCTTAGCACTAGACTTGGAGTCTTATTTCAGAACCTGGTCCTAGTAAGGAGAGAGGAAAAGAAAGCACCATATGGCACTTAGGAGTAGCAGCCTGGCCCACAAAAATCAGATAATGTCAGCAAGTACCTGCATTTTGACTAGCAGGAGCTCTGTTTTGTCTTTTTTGAGGAAGAATAAGATGGGGGAGAGAACAAGATCTATATCTGTTGTTTCATGAGTATATTAAAACATTAACTCTGGGAACACATAACATGATACAAAAATCAGGAATGGATGGTTCAAAAGTTTCTCCCAACTTTGGCCCTTTTCTTGTAGTCAAGGTAAGACCGTCTTCTATGACCAGAAAAGTGAGGACCCTATTTGGAAGCCTCCCAGGAGCATCCTGGTGACCATCCTGTCACAGTGGTATACCCTCAGAGACTAAGAGGCATTCCTGAGATGCCTTTGATATCCATCATTTCTAGGATATCAATTGTATAGCCCCCTCACTCTGTTGCACAGATTGGCATTAGACCTGCCCCTAGGGGAACCTTCCCTTATCTCCCATGGACACACCTTATCAACAGGTGGTTAGTTTATGAGGAAAGAAGAATCATTCCCTCTAACATCCCTGGACTACAGTGTTTCAGGCAATTTACTACTATGTTCTCTCATATAAGTCCCTGCCTGTCACACTCTCTTTGAATCTCAGAAGTGGAAGGATCTTAGAGAACATCTAGTTCAACCCTTACTTGAATAATGGAAGTCCCTAAGGTATTCTCATCCAGTGTCTCTTGGATGACCTGCTGCATTGAAGAGAAGAAAAAATTCTCACTCCCTCTTGACCAAGCTGATTGTACTTCCAAACAGAATTGTTAGAAAAATTTCTTGTTTTGTTTCCTTTACTTAAGGCCAGAGTTGACTCAAATTTGCCTCCTCAAATTCTATCTAATTCTAACTCTGCTCTCTTTCATCCAAATACCTCAAGTCTAATCACTCTTCACCACAGATATTGAGATATTTGGAATCAGTGATCCTGTCTTTTGGTGTCTTTCTCCTTTCCAAGTTAAACACCCCTAGTTCTCCAATTGATTTTCACAGGGCATGATCTCTAGTTCCTTAACCATTCTGGTAGCACTCTAATGGGTATACATCAATTTGGCAATGTGACTTCAACAAAGTGCTTCCCAGAACGAGGCAAACTAATGTAGATAAGTTTTGACTGTAGGGCAGATGATGACAAGACTGCCACCTCATAGAATTCTAGACTCCAAAATTTCAAAGAATTCTCAGAACCCATCTAGTCCCAAGTATGTCTGTAAAGGAAATCTGCTACAACATCCTGTAAGTTTTTTCCTTGCTTCTATTTGAAGGTCATTCCATGGGTGGGGTGCTCAATGTCTCTAAAGGAAGCCCATTCAATTTTTGGATGTCTTGAATTTGGGGAAATTTTTTCTTGGCATCAACTCTAAATCTACCTCTCTGAAATGCTCATCATCAATAACACAAGAATTATCCCTCTTCCATATGACAATCCATCCTATTTTTGTTATGTCTACCTCAATCACCATCTTTTGAATGGGCTCTAGCTTCTAAAATATGGTATCTAAAACAAACTACAACACTTGAGATATGGACTAAGCAGAAAAGTGGTAAGTGGGATTCTCACTTCATTCTGAACATTATATATTTTCTAATACAACTTCAGGCTTAATCATACAACCACAGATTTAAGACCAGAAGGAATCTCAAAGGCTAGCTACTGAGTGCCTCTCATTTTATGAATGATGACGCATGCCCAAGGAGGCTGTGAGTTTCCTAAGTTCACACAGTACATACTAGAATATATTATTTTTTCATAATTAGAGAATTCTTTCTCAGTTATGAGGTTTCCCCATTAATATTTTGTCACAGAATAGGATAGCTCCTTCAATTGAGTTTCTGCTACAAACATCGTGTCATGTTTGCTACTGCTCTCTCCTCTTCCTTTCTAGTTACCTTAGTATAAGCACGTACATAAAACAAGGATAAGCTGATGCTAAGGATGCAGTTACCTTTGACTTTGTGATCTGACATAGAGTCATTACTATTCATCTCTCTGGTATAGTCTGTGTCGAAGACCTCAAAAACTTTCCAGCACAGTCCAATATGCACTATATTCTTAGGATCATGTATAAAAGTGAAATAATCACATTGATTCTGTGTCTTCTTTTCATTGGTCCTATGTACAGTGAATTGATTTTGTTCTGTCAAGATTCTTTGTCTCTAAACTTAGTTCAGAAATTCAGCTGGCCTATAATGAGTTAAGTTTTGAATTTTAGTTCTCCTTTGAAACTATATTCTCTTCCTGCCTCATGCATATCTACTATCCTTGAAAGATGCATATGAACACCAGAAAGTCTGTTTTAGTACCCTTATACCACCAAGCTATCCTTCAAGGATGTCTGATTTGTTATCCAAAGAAGTCTGGTCCACTATCCTTGCCCTTGCAGATGGACTCAAACAATGAACATTTCTTAGTCAGAGGAATGAAGAAACAGTTGATGCTCCTTCCAATTTCCAACCAATCATACTGTTCCCCCATGCCTCAGCTTTGTAACCTGTCATAACTTGTTCCCCACTAAGACATTCTATTTTTAGTTCTGTACACTCAAAAAAAAACTATAAATAGAGTAGTCATTCCCCACCTTGGGGTCTTAGCTTTGCTGGGGAAACTGAGATTGTATTTATTGGTAAATTTGCACTTTACTAATAAGTTGATCTTGCTCAGTCTACCTAAGTTTCAACTGTTACAAAACAAAGAACACCAAAACATAGAAATAGCCACTCAAGTACTTTGACTGCTCAGGGCTCTTCTGCTTTGCTCCATATTAGTCGTCCTTGATTCTCTTAGTCTCCATGCTTCAAGGGTATAAAGATTACCACCATAGTATAGCAGGTCTTTCTGACATTGTCTTGGAAAGCTAATCTTTCCCTGTCTTTATTTCCTAATCCCAAGAAACCTAGACTCTCCTAATGGGTTTTGGTATTAGATTCTGCCATCTTTATCCTATATTTCGACAGACTTCTTATCCTACTGCCTAGAGGCAAGGAGATTGTGTCTACATTCCCAAAGGTAATGATGAATGAGGTACTGACTTGGTAAACCTGTTGAAGGGTAGTGTCTGAGGTAAAATGAGAGGAAATTCCCACACTCTGGAGAAAGAAAACCCAGGAAGAAAGAAGTAGATATTTAATGTTATTTATTTGTGAAAATAAGCACAAAGTACACTGCTTTTTCTTACAATATTCAGACAAAAAAGAATTAGTAACTACCAACTTCCTGGTACTAGGTGAGGAGAACATGACTGGTATAGGATATACCAAGCCTTAGAAGTCATGGCAGTACACAGGCTTTGAATACCAAGGAGTCAGCACCGACCAAAGTGCTTAAATCGAAGAATAGATACATCGGGCCTAAAAGAGGGAGAGAAAGATAATTTATTTTCATGTGAAAATAATTCCTTTCTGATTTCTTATAAAAACCAAAAGCTCCTTCATGTATACTTATACATAAGTAAATATAGATGGCATTGCTAGTTGAACTTTGAAGGAGATTCTGTATTCAACTCTTAAGGTGGAGGTGAAGAGAGAAGCTCCTCCCATCCTTGCCATGGGGACAGCCAGTCCACCGGCACAGAGATGGGAAATGGCTGTTGCAGATGAGATGCATAAGTCAAATAGGGAGGTTGCTTCCCTAAGGTTACACACAGGATTGTCTTTAAGTCAGAGGATAATTGAAAATGACCAAATGTTTGTGAAAAGCATGTTATTTTGTCCATAAAAGTCTTGTGAGCAAATGGAAACAGAAACCACAGCCCAAATTCAAATCAGACACTTGGAATTAGCTGAGATTTGTAAGACTTCTGGTTAAGAAATGACATATCTATAATCTATGTAAATATATGGTTATCTTTGGAGACAGAAACTTCCCTCTCAAGAACTTTTCAAGGACTCATGGTCTTTTTAAATGGTTTTATTTCCCCCTAACACCAAACCCCCATATCTCACCCATTATTCTATCTGAATTTGTATGTACTTATCTTTTGTACATGCTGGACAGTCATCCCACCAACAGAATTCATGATTTTGGGAGTGAAGAATGGTTTCATTTTTGCTTTGGAATACTTAGGCTCTAACACATTTCCAGATAAATAGTTAACATTTTAAATTGCTTGCTAGTGAAGAGGGCAGAATCAAGATGGTGGAGTAACAGGTAATCACTTGAACTCTATCCAATTCCCCTCCAAACAACTTTAAAGTAATGCCTCAAATTGAATTCTGGAGAAACAGAACCAACAAAAGATGAGGGTGAAATAATTTTCTAGCCCAAGACAACTTAGGAGGTTGCCGGGAAAGGTCTGTCTCACTTGGGTGGTGATTATCCCAAAAAGGCAGTGCAGAAAGCACAGGCCCTGTCTTGGGGGTATCTGATGCAGCTTACAGATGGTAGCAGATTAGACAAGTGATCAGAAGGAGATTATAGGGGCCTCTCTGCTGGCACTGGGTGTAGTACATTATTGCATTGTCTCTACACAATTCTGGGTCATGGACCAAGGAGGGAAAATACACTGGTGGAGAGGAGTGCTTGTGGTTGCTCACAGGAGAGCAGGGGCACTTGTCTAAGGTCCAGGGTTTAGAGGAGCACTATCTCTTGCAACCAAGTTGCATTCATGAACCGAAGGGACTGAAATTACTCATGGGCACAGGGAAGCAGGTACACTCCTCTAGGTTCTAGGATCTAGAAGAATGCTTGAAGAAGGTTCTCTGGCCAAAACAGAAGCTAGGAGAGCAGTGATCACAGATCTATTTAGATCAAGCCTTCACAACATATGACCTGTGGGCCTCTTGCAGGCCACCAAAGAGGCCTGCAGGTGGTATGTTGTGTAGGCTTGTTTTACATCTTCTACATTATTCACAGGCTACCTGAAATTCTTTGACTGGCTGCAGGTTGTGCAAGCCTGATTTAGAAAATACTGCCCTGGAAAAACTGAAAATTTTCAGACACTCAGAATAAACTCTGAAAATAATTAACAACTTCAGCAAAGTTGCAGGATATAAAATAAAAGCACAAAAATCAACATGTCTATATATGGCCAAAAAAGTCCACAGGAAGAGATAGAAAGAGAAATTCCATTTAAAACAGCTGTAGAAAATTTAAAATAGTTGGGAATTTACCTGCCAAGATAAACCCTGGAACTATATGAACCCAATTACAAAATACTTTTCTCACAAATACAGTCAAATTAAACAATTGGGATAGGCTGAGCCAATATAATAAAAATGGCAATTCTACATAAATAAATTTATTTCTGAAGTGCAATATCTAAAAAAACTAATAAAATTATTTTAAAGAGCTAGACAAAGTAATAACAAAATTCCAGAAAAGGAAATGAATGGGAAAAAATAAAGGAAGGTGGACTAGCATTACCAGATCTATACTACAAAGTGATAATAATCGAAATAATCTGCTACTAGCTAAGAAATAGAGAGGTGGATTAGTGGATCAGATTAGGTACACAATACACAACAGTAAATGACAAAAGTGATTCAGTATTTGATAAATGCAAAGATCATTTTGGACAGAACTCATTATTTGACAAAAACTACTGGGAAAACGAGAAAGCACTTTGGCAGAAACTAAGTAGAGACCAACATCTCCTACCATATGACCAAGTTCAAAATGAGTATATGGTTTAAAAATAAAGGATAATATCATAAACAAATTAGGGGAGCACAGAATACTTTACCTGTAAAATCTACGGATAAGGGAAGAGTTTATGACCAAACAAATGATACAGAGCATTATGGGATATAAAATGTATAATTTTGATTACATTAAATTAAAAACTTCTGCACAAATAAAACAAATGCAGCCAAGATTAAAAGGAAAACAGAAAACTGAGAATTTTTTTCCAAATTTCTCAAATATATAGAGAAGTGATGCCAATTTATAAGAGTACAAGTCATTCCCCAATTGATAAATGGTCCAATGATATCAATAGGCAGTTTTCAGAAGAAATCAAAACTATCAATTGTTTTGTGAAAAATATTTTAAATTACTATTAATTAGAGAAATGCAACTTAAAATAACTCTGAATTACTACCTTTCACCTATCAGATTGGCTAGTATGAAAGAAAAGGAAAAGAACAAATGTTGGAGGGAATATGAAACATTGGGACACAAATGCAATATTGATGGACTTGTGAATTGGTCAACCATTCTGGAGAGAAATTTGGAACTACATCCAAAGGGCTATAAAACTGCCCATACTCCTTGACCCATCAAGACACCTATTAGGTCTTTATCCCAAAGAGATCAAAGAAAAAAGAAAAGGATCTTTATGTACAAAAATATTTATAGTAGCTCTTTTTGTGGTGGCAAAGAATTAAAAACTGAAGAGATGCCCATCAATTGGGGAATGGCTGAACAAGTTGTGTTATATATAATTGTGATGGAACACTATTGTGCCATAAGAAATGATGAGCAAGATAAAAAAAAAAAACTGGGAAAACTTATATGAACAGATGCAAAGTGAAGTGAACAGAGCCAGGAAATCATTTCACACAATAAAAGCAATATCATATGATGGTCAACTGTGCATGACTTAGCTATGCTCAGCAAAACAATGATCTAAGACAATTCTAAATAACTTATGAAGAAAACTGTTATCCACCTTCAGAGAAAGAATGGATGGAATCTGAATGCATATTGAATCATACTTTTAAATTTTTCTTTATTTTTCTTGTGTTTTTTTGTCTCTGATTTCTTTTGAAATTTGACTAACATGGAAATATGTTTTGCATGACTGCACATGGTATATAATTTATATCAAAGTGCTTGCCTTCTCAAGCAGGTGTTAAAGAGGGACAGAAGGAGGAAATTTGGAACTCAAAAAATATAGAAAATGAATGTTAAAAATTATTTTTACAAATTATTGAGAAAAATAATATGAAATTTATTTGAGGATTAAACTGAATGGAAATTAAGTAACAACATGCATTGTCGCTGGTTCCTGGGAATGCTTTTGCTGTATTTAGGAAGAGTCAGAATATTGCTTTATATACTTACCTCATTGCACTGCAAAATACGCATTCATTTTTATATGTTATACCATTCTGGGCACAGATAGGATTGTACTCTTGGGTGCAGTGGTATGACGGTTGGTTTAAATACTTGATACATTCAGGCTGCCAGAATCATAAAGACATGTAGTTTGGATCAGATATCACTTATACAAAGAACCCTATGCCTTGAGGATGCACCGTATTAGAGCCAAAATAACTAGATATTAAGATATCAAGGCACTTTGGTGCTTCCAGAGATAGAAATGCAGAAGTATGAGGGGGACAGCTTATGATACTTCTGGGTTCATATCCAGGCTTGTGTTTTCAAAAAGGAAAAAAATAAATAAATCAGAAATCTTGTTCTTCAAAATTTACATCCAGAAGCATAAGGCTATCTTTCAACATAGTAAGCAAGTAATTTTGGTCTTCTAAATACTGCCTATCTTTTCGAGACTGGCTAAGTCCTGCATCCTACCTGAAAGCCTTCTCTCTTCTCTCTAGCCATGACTTATCTCCCTTTTCCTGAATTCCTATAGTAATCTAGGTCTCCTCAAGTGAACTTTGTGCTTGGAAATACATTGTATCATTTCATTTAATAATTTAGCTAACTCACACACAGATGTCTTGCCTCTCCAATCAGATTGTAAGATAGTTTGAACTAGAGTTAGAACTGAAAAAACTTGTGAGAACTTCTTTATCTTACATGAGGAAAGTGAGGTCCAGAGACATCTACCGTTTAAACTCAGCTCCTCTGACTCTAAATCTACCCTGCTTTGTGTACCACAATGTTACCTATGCTTTCTATCTGGCCCCACAGAAACTAAAACACATCTGGATACACCCAATGCACTCACTTAAAACAGTGAATTGAACTAAACTGAACAGACCTGATCTGAGCTGCATATTATTTAATGAGTGGGTAATTCCTATTCCCACTGATTAAACAGGAGGAGAAGTCATTCCAATTCATTCATTGAAGCAATTACAGACACTACATGAACACCTAAAAGTCCACGTTTAATGCTCATTGTAAAATGGGGAATGTAAGCCAGGGGAAAATGAGGCAGATGAGAAGAAACTGAATTGTCTACTTATTACCAATGTCTGCACGAACAGTAAAAATCCTACTAGGCTATTTCTGCTTGAACTATAGGCTTGACCATTGAACAGAATTCATCCTTGAGACTATTTTCCACACACTTATTTTAATTTTCCACTACACCCTAGCCTCTTAATTGACATACAATCTTGCATTTTTATTTTGTGCAAAACTCATCCTCAGTTATCCCCATATTTCCCTTTAAAACTATATTGTTTTATTGATACTTTAAAAAAAACAACCTATTATCTATTCCCAAAGATGCCATCTTTACCCTAGTAGAAACTTCCCTTGTAATAAAGATGGACATCTAAGTAAATTAAGTCAACACATTGTCCTGATATGAAAATATATGCCTCACTCTGCTCCTGTTGGGCTGCTCCTCTGTTGAAAGAAAGTAATTAGTCAAAAAAAATAGTGATTTTTTCTTTCTCTTGGGTCTGCCTTTTCTGCTCTATCTCTTATTTATTAAAATATTTTAAGCTTGCCTGTATTCTTCACAGGAACATACTACTGCATACATGATGTCATATTTGATGCATTACATAAAATGATGGCAATAACGCATTGGAAGGGTTTTGATTGTTTTTTTTCTATTTTATTAATTTTGGGTATAAGGTATAATTCTCTGAGGAGGAAGGGCATATTAAAGCTATTCAGGTTTTGAAAAATCATTATTTTCTCCAAAAATTAAATGTTACTATAATTAAAAAACTCAGTTCACAACACTGAACCCCAATTATAGAGTAGGAAAAAAACTTACCAGGTCTATTTGACTTTCCATTCTGGAAAGACCTGGAAGAAAAATAGAGATGCAATAAATTATATTTTATACTTTTGGATAAAGTCACTTCATCTTTTGGTGGAATGAACCTAATCATATCATCTTTCAATACTCAGGATCCTACAAAAGATGCAGGGAGCCTACAACTGGTTGTATTTATGTGATATGATTGTCTAAAAACTACCACAACCAGCAGGAAATAAATGATAAGACAAAGTGCGGCCTGTGGTCAACCCCAAATATATGGGACATAGTAGAACTCTGGATAAATTGTGCTTTAGGATGAGTTTTGTCAAAAAAATTCTCATCTAGGAGGATGTTTTTGTACTAATCATTTCTCTTGATTCAATGCCAATGAAAACCTAGAGTATTCATCACTGCTAACTAATATACTATTTTAAGAGTTATTATTTTCATTGACTCAGAGATCATTAGAGTAGGAAGGGACCCTATAGACTGTATTATTCTGCCTTCCAATTTTATGCAAGAGGTAACTGAAGCCTAGTGTTGAACTTTGCCCGAAGTTATAGCAAGTGAGGGGCAAAGCAAAGTCAAAATTGCTGACTCCCAACCATGGTCTTTCTGCCACACAATATTGCCATCACTTTATGTAATGCATCAAATACATTAAATTCACCAATTCAGGGAATCACAATTTAAAATAAAAGGTTTCCCAATTTGATCCAAACATTTAAAACTCCCCAAAAAGAAAGGAACAACCTATTCTAAGCAGCAGGTAACACTAGTGCTTCAGAGAATTTTCTGAAAGATTAGTGGATTCCCACCAATGACAGAAATTTACCGACCTGAGGAAACAGTTAGTATTAAGAATAAAAGCCCAAAGAGGGCCTTCTTTATCAGTTGGAAGCAGATCATTCAGTCTCTGAGGAGTCCCTGGACTGGGTTTTCTGTTAGGAAAAAATATGTATAGACCAATAAAAGCCTAAGAACACTTTCTTATTAATAAAATGGGACTTTTTTTCAGGCCTCCCATACATGAAGGTCTGTATAAATTAAATTCTTTATTCTCTCACTTCCCACACCCAAAATGCTAGGACTGGAAAGCCCATTCTCCCCACCCCATCCCAGATCAAGACCTTCAAGCCAGCACAAATCATAACTCATCCTCCTCTATGCCTCAAAGACAGAATCGTGAAGATGGGCAACTTTCCCCATACAAAACTCTGTCAGCTCTCCTGAAGAGGGAGACAAAATGAAGCTTCATGTGTGTCACCATACCCTTGATCAGCCTTGACATTTCTCCCCATGAAATACAACATTGACAATTTTTCAGAAGGGTGAGATCTAGGAAGATGTCTAAACAAGAAAGAATTGGAGGGAAGGGACTTGGTCTCATTTGCAGTCTCTGAGTAACCTACCTGAAAGGGAAGAAGAGATGGACAAGAAGTTGAAACTGCCTCTCTTTTCCTTGCAGGACACGTAAATACTCTTAGCCAGTCACTCATCTCCAGGGATAAGTAAGGAGGGAGGTCAGCTGTTCTCAAGGGGTGGGGAGTGGGAGGGCAGAAAGCACTGAGGCAACAAATGCTCTACCCACAGGCTAGAGATTATCTCCTCATCTTAGGCTTTGACTTTATCAACATTTATAGCTCAGCAGGAGGTTGAAGGAACAGGGAAAATGGAAGAAGAGGCCTAGGAGGAAGTGTGAGAGGCATGAAGAAAAACATGTAAATAGAAGCTGAGCAGGGTAGTCTACAGAAGGGCATAGAAAGGAGGTAAAGGGATCTGGGAGCAGAGGGAACAGAGAAAAAGAGAAGAGAACAGTGAAAAACAGGCCCAGAGAAGACATGAAATCCACTAGGGCCCCTTCCTATTACTTTCAATTCTGACTGATGCATTGAAGAAATGAGTCAACAAGTATGATAGAGATCTGTTATTGTTTGTCTTTCCTACTCAAAGAAGACCAACGACATCACTAGGTAGTCTTGACATGTGTGATTTGGACTTAAGTGAGAACAAGCTGCACAAAGTCATTAGCCTCACTCTCTCCTCCAGAGTCATTGGAGTCCAGTGGCAAGACAAGAATGAAGATTACTGTTGATAAGCCATTTTGCAGTGGGTGACTTTGTACATTCTTAATTAAGGTATTTCCCAGGTCTCAGTTCATCTTAAGCCATGCCCATTCAATGACTAATGACTAGGTAAGAATGGAGACAAAACATAGAGTAATTTACCATGACAAAAATATCAATCTGGCATGGGAAGACCCTCACATTTTCTGACTAGAACAGAATACAGTTGCTATTTATACTCATTCTAAACAATAAAACCTAAACAATGAGCCACTAAGGCTTGGGTGGAGAGCTATAATTGGCCATTCAAACAAAACCAGAGCAAATTGGGTTTCAAGGGCAGTCAAGTAGTTTCATTTAAAATGCAAGAGACTTTTTAATGGCTATTTTTTCATAGATATATTAATAAATAAATGAAAACTGCACACAACAAAAAATAAATTATTCTAGGTTTTTGAAAAAAATTGATAACAAATTAATACTAGATATTTTTTTTAAAAAATCTGCTCATTTTATTTTAAACACTTATCTATTGGAGCAGATGCAAATCTGCTGAATTGTTAATTATTATCCAGATAATGTTTTTCTATCTTGTCTGTAATTATAGCATAAGACAATATATTAAATTCCTTCCTCAATCCGACAAACATTTCAATGCTTTTCCTCATGCATACTTGCATTTCCAGTTCAGTTTTTAGTGTTCCCTCCCTTTTATAATTCAATTTTATCTTTTACTTATTAATATGTGTTTTGTACACCTCCCAGAAGAATATACGTTGCTTCAGAGCAGGGAAACTTTCATTGTCCTCATCTTTGTATGACTAGTTCCTTCCATATAATTAGCACTTAATGTTTGTTGAATCTGACTGCAACTGATTCAATGATGTATTTGGTAAATTCTCTTATAATATTCTTGGGAAGAAGACAGAACAAGGTGAATAAGATACTTGTATAGTTCAGTGGATTGACATCTGATTAAACTACCTCCAAAACTCTCAAAATGTCAATTAATGAATTGACATCAAGAATCAATAGGAGGGTAGAAACAGGCAGAGAAAATGGAAAGCCTTAGGGAACAATCCCCATCCAGTGTTGTTCAACATTTTTATCCATGACTTAGATAAAGACATAGGTGGTGAGCTTGTCATATCTGCAGATTACATAAATCTTGAATAGACAGCTAATACATTGAATGATAGAATCAAGATGAGTGAGCTGGAATAAAAAAATTGACTAGGAGTAAATGTAAAGTCTTGCATTTAAGGTTTTTTTTTTAATTAGTGACTCAAGTGCAGAATGAGGAAACTGCACCTGAACAACTGATGGTTATTTTATACATAGATAAATGTATATATCTATATCTGATGAGTAAATGGGGAGGTGTGTCATAGTGTTGTCTTGAAGGACTTCGCTCAGAACATCCTAAGTCAAGCAAAGGCATTTATTGGGGTGATGAATACAGTGGACTCTGCTCTTTATGGAATGCCAGAGTGCCCAGTGGGCCCTGTTCCTCTGGGAGACAGAGCACTGAGCTGGGTTATGTGTCTTGTCTATACACAGTTTGACAAGATATGGAGGAGGGGATGAACTACTATAATTTAAGAAAATGAAAAGGGGAAACAAGAGAGGGGAGGGGAGGCTTCCAGGAGCTAAGGTGGCAGAGTAAGAAGTAAGTGAACATTGTACACAATAACAGCCACATTGTGTGATGACTAATATTGATAAGCTTAACCCTTCCCAGCAATACAAGGATCTAAGACATCTCCAAAGGCCTCGTGATGGAAAATGCTATCCACATCTAAAAAAGAACTATGGAGTTTGAATGCAGATCAAACCACACTATTTGCTATTTTTTTTCTTCTGTTGAGTTTTGTTTTCTCTTTCTGGTAGTTCCTCCTATTGGTTCTAATTCTTACTTACGACATCACTAATGTGAAAATATGTTTAATAGGAATGTATATATATAGCCTATATCAGATTGTGCACCGTATTGGAGAGGGCAATAGGGAGGAAGGGGGAGAAAGATTTTAAACTTAAAAGCATATGGAAGTGATTGTTGATAAATCAAAATAAATTAATAACTTTTTTTTAAAAAAAAAGTAAAGCAAATTGAAAAAACAAAAACAGGAGGTGGAGGGACCTAGGAATAGAGAAGAGGCCTAGGAGGAAGTGTGAGAGGCTTAAAGACAAAGTTTATAAAGAGAAGCTAAGGATGGGGGAGGAGGGCAGGCTAGAAGAGAAGATTCAGGAAAGTCAAAGAATATGGGGACAAGGGGCACAAAGAAAACAAAGGAACAGTGAAAAATAGGCCAGAAAAGGAGTAAAACACATCTAGGCCTCTTCCTATTATTTTCAATTTTGACTTTTTCACTGAAAAAGTGACATCCAGAGGGAGGCAAGCAGGATGGTGATGATCTGTAATTGTCATTTCTTCCTTCTCAAAGAGGACCAATGACATTATTAGGGGGTTGTCTGACTTGTCCAAGAAATCGATTTAAGTGAGGCCAAGTTGCAGAAAGTCTTCAACCTCACTCTCTCTTCCAGTGTCATTGGAATCCAGAAACAAGACAAAAGTCTAGACTACTGTTCATGTCCCAAAATGCAGTGGGTGACCTTGGCCTTTCAAAATTAAGGTCTTTCCCAGGTCTAAGTTTTTCTGAGGCCAAGTCCATTCAATAAGTAAGAGCTAGGTAAGAATTGAGATAAAATATGGCATAATTAATCCTTAGTAAAATATCAAGGCTGATCAGGGGTATGGCGATACACATGCAGCTTCATTTTGTCTCCCTCTTCAGGAGAGCTGACAGAGTTTTGTATGGGGAAAGTTGCCCATCTTCACGATTCTGTCTTTGAGGCATAGAGGAGGATGAGTTATGATTTGTGCTGGCTTGAAGGTCTTGATCTGGGATGGGGTGGGGAGAATGGGCTTTCCAGTCCTAGCATTTTGGGTGTGGGAAGTGAGAGAATAAAGAATTTAATTTATACAGACCTTCATGTATGGGAGGCCTGAAAAAAAGTCCCATTTTATTAATAAGAAAGTGTTCTTAGGCTTTTATTGGTCTATACATATTTTTTTCCTAACAGAAAACGCAGTCCAGGGACTCCTCAGAGACTGAATGATCTGCTTCCAACTGATAAAGAAGGCCCTCTTTGGGCTTTTATTCTTGATACTAACTGTTTCCTCAGGTCGGTAAATTTCTGTCATTGGTGGGAATCCACTAATCTTTCAGAAAATTCTCTGAAGCACTAGTGTTACCTGCTGCTTAGAATAGGTTGTTCCTTTCTTTTTGGGGAGTTTTAAATGTTTGGATCAAATTGGGAAACCTTTTATTTTAAATTGTGATTCCCTGAATTGGTGAATTTAATGTATTTGATGCATCACATAAAGTGATGGCAATATTGTGTGGCAGAAAGAGCATGGTTGGGAGTCAACAATTTTGACTTTGCTTTGCCCCTCACTTGCTATAACTTTGGGCAAAGTTCAACACTAGGCTTCAGTTACCTCTTGCATAAAATTGGGAGGCAGAATAATACAGTCTGTAGGGTCCCTTCCTACTCTAATGACCTCTGAGTCAATGAAAATAGTAACACTTAAAATAGTATATTAGTTAGCAGTGATGAATACTCTAGGTTTTCATTGGCATTGAATCAAGAGAAATGATTAGTACAAAAATATCCTCCTAGATGAGAATTTTTTTGACAAAACTCATCCTAAAGCACAATTTATCCAGAGTTCTACTATGTCCCATATATTTGGGGTTGACCTTCAAAGTTTCTGGCCTTGAACAGAACACAATTACTATTTATACTCATTCTAATTCATCAAAAGCTAAACAATGAGCCATGGAGCCTTGGGCTGGTGGCTATTATTGGCCATTGATGAAAAACAGAGTGATTTAATTTTAAAGGTATAGTCAAATAGCCCCATTTGAAACACAATGGGTTTCTTTAGAGGTATATTTGGAGAAATCATAAACGAAAACTACACAGTACAAATAGTAACTCCAAGTTTTTGAAAAATGATAATGAGAAAATAAAAATAAATAAATAATTTAAATTTAAGTCTACTTTTTTCATTTTTAGGACTTAGCTATTAGAGCACATGCAAATCTGCTAAATTCTTGTTATTATCCCGTTGTTGATGTTTCTCCATCTTATCTATAAATCTAGTGTAAGAATGCCTTCTTCAGTTCAATACGCATTTCAGTGCTTTTCCTGATCCATGCTCCCCACTTCCAGTTCAGTTGTTCATGTTCCCTCCCTTTTACAATTCTATTTTATGCTTTACTTATTAATATGTGTTTTGTAAATCTCCAGGACAAATGTAAGCTGCTTTACAGCAGACAAAGTTTCATTGTTCTTCTTTTGGTATGGCCAGTTCCTTGCATATAGTCAGCACTTAATGTTT